CCTGAGTAATTTCTTCTGTTTTGGTCCAAATATTGTCCTAAGCAATTTATTCCAGCAAAATGAAAAACTGTAATATATGTATTTGTATGTATTACACATACATGCTTTTTTGCCTCCATTTTCAGCTATATTGATCAAGGCCGAAATCCTCAGTTATACACAAAAGACTGCATTGAGAAGGCACTGACCAAGAATGAACAGGTGAGGGGAAAGATTGAAGCTTACAAGAAGTTCAAAACACTCCTAGCTACGCAATTGAACAATGTTTTTCCAAATGAACTTACAAAGTACCGAGCTATAAGGGGAGATGAACGTACAGTTACTTAAATGCTGCTGCAGGCTTCTGAACTTTGGATGTTATGTTATGTGACATTACATAAGCATTTTTTTAATAACTGCTATTGTTTTAATGTCAGTTGTAGGCTGACTCTTGTGTTTTGGTGCATGATGTATATGGTTCATGTAACGTGTCATATAGTTTTTCAGATTTGCCTGTGTTGTGTGTTGTAATTGTAGCTTTGTCAATTTTTGTGAGGTTGACACACATGGCTTGTGTGCTTTTTATTGAACAACATATTAGTGATAGCCAAACATGTTATATAATTAAAATAAAGGAAAAAGTAATTATGTATACATCACCTAACTGGTTTGTCTGGACTGTATCATAAATTAAGCTAATAAAAGTTCCCCTAAAGGTGAAGACAAAGTTATCCCTGAACCTAAACACCATTTCTTGAAGGTTTTGGGGAGTGGAGGTAAAGCTTCACATATTTTTAACCTGGGGGAGTGGTCATCTTCACACTCAAGGCACTTTAGTGCCAGGGAAATTATCTTTGTACTTATCAGATTGGCTGGATAAGTTGTAAAGTTGGTTTGGGTGTTCATGTGAAAACGATTCCTGCCTGTGGAAAGTGAAAGATGTCAAAAACCAGTGGAGAAGCAGCAATCATATCCTAAAATTATCTTCTGTGTTAATATAACAACCGCCATGGTGGTCTAGCGGTTAGAACACTGGCCTTGTAATCCTGGGGTCCCCGAATTTATAACTTGTGTTGGGCAAGACCGTGGTCTAGGCAACACGGAGTTTTCCTCCGGGGGCTTCCCCAGTCTCTCCGTGGCATCCCAACAATTACTCCATTCACACACAGGAGAAGGCAATGGCAAACCACTTCTGGATCATCTGCCAAGAACGTATATGAACATGTCCCAGTCCGAGAAAAGGAAGGAAGGATCCTGTTCATAATATGTCGCCAACCTCCTGTAAAGGAGACGGCGTAATAAAGGAGAAGTTAATATAACAACATTGAAAAACCTTTTTACTGTGAAAAAAAATAATTTGTCTCAGTCTGTTTGCAGTACATGGCAACAGTGAGGTATGGTTGAGTTTGCCAGGTCATATAGAAGTCCCTAAACTCTTCACAGCCATTGTCATCACTCACATCAAATTATCTGGCATATGCTGCGGTGATCTACAAATTGTAATTTCTTACGACATGCAATAATGACATGGGACTGGAACACGCATTACATTCCTTATGTGTATGCATGTTTTATTGGGTATATACAGCACTTATATGTAATTAAACAGGCCAACATTTCATTCTCAAATTCAGTTCTCTTAGGTTTTAAGCAGAATACAAAGATCAAGAACAAGAAACAGTTTCCAAAACAGTAAATTTTCTATTATTTTAAATACCAGAAACACTTGACAATGACCAAACAGAATATCCTAAAAATGCCAATACACCATTTAAGAAGGCTTTAAAATGGCAATTCAAATCATCACAAGAACCATCTCAATTTGGTACTTCTACTACATCTTCACCCATAGAAAGAGCATATTTAATTCCAGTGGAGCAGGAATTTCCTTCTTCACCAGTGTCCACAAATATGTAGGGCTCACCAAGTCTCTCATCCAATGGCTAATGGGGGTGAGGCGGCCGGAATGTCAAGCTGACCATTCGCCTCCATCTAATGTTTTCTACAACAGTGGTATTCAACCTGGGGTACGTGAAATTTTAAAAATATATTATTTTATGATAAACACTGAATAATCAGTAATGTAATTTATTTTAAATGTAGATTATATGCTATGTATAACTTGAATTATACACGAACAACTTTGGGGGTACAAAGTTGAAGAGAAATTATATCTGGGGGTACGCGAACAAAAAAGGTTAAATACCACTGGTCTACAATGCACCTTACCCACTACACTCATTCATAAGGTCATGCTTAGGTTCTGTACAGAGGCTGGGGAATACTTTTTCTTTCTCAAAGAAGTTCCCAGAATTGGGAGCACCCAGGGATATTCCAGCAAACGTTCTAAGAAAGTGAGAGAGACACAGGGCATTACAGTCATGGCACAAATTTGCAATAGGCAAAAAACGGTTATGCGATATCGTATCACCTGCACACTCACGCCAACACAATTAAATTGCGTCTGAAAACGTCACTGGAAGAAATGATCACTGCAGACTGCATAGTTTGCGCGCACTTCATATTACGAGAATCCTCTTGTACTCAGGGTACGTTGGTGTTTTCTCCATTAAATAACCTTACATGGCTGGTAGACGGAGAAGAATTCATTATATTTAGTCACCGTGAAAGCTTCAGATCATACTGCTAGACGCTTCGCTGTGATTCCTGCCTTATTCTATAATACCTATACTATTTTTTTGCCGATAAATTGGAGTATGATGTGGCAACAGCGTTAATGGAGAGAGAGAGAGAAACCCACTGCACTATGCACCTTGCTGGTTCACAGTTAGCGCCTGGCGTATGATTTGTGCGCCAGCCAAAACACCGTCCCTCCGAAGTTGCAAGGTTAGTCACACTTTTGTTAAAAACTAACAATGATCAATACAATGTGGTTTTATTAAAGAATTCCTCTAGTGAGGATTCTTAACAAGTAAGTTCACAATTGGTATTTTACACTAATGCTGCTTCAAACTCTCTTTCACGCACCAAGGTTACATTTATTTACTAGCATACATATGGTACATACAAAACGTATGTATGTGTGTTTTTATAGACAGTTTTATAATAAATTAGCAAGAGAATATTCCAAATTACAGAATACGGAATTTCCATCTGTTCCGTTACAGGATTTGTAGTTGTAGATTCTAGTACTCCGGGTCGTTGCGCCGCGTTGTCCTCTGAAGTCTTCTGGCTAGCTACACTGCGTTAACAACCCAGACGACCACAATCTAAATTCCATATGTTTTGACGTAAATGCGTCTATACGGAAGGGTCATTCGGCAAAAAAGCGTTAGGAAGATGTGTAAGATCCATACCAACAATGTGTAAATTGTTATGTCATCTGTTTATTCGACATTGCTATGTTTCATTACTGCCGTCAACATTCCGCTTTCGTTATTGCGGAAACAGCTGAGCTGTGAATCGCTTGTAGAAGAAGTGCGTCGTAGAGTAGATAATATTGTGCTGTTAGAAACGTTTTAGAATATCACAAGTACTTATCCTATACAAGAATTATTAAGAAATCTGTGATCCTGCCCTGCACTCTCTCCATTTTAGTTTTGATTAAATTAATCATTGCCGGTGGACATCGGCGTCTATACGTATGAGGGCATATATAAATAGCAAGAAGCAATTATTGCAAGTTAATGATTCCACATCATTGGCCAGTACAAGCGTTCCTACAAGAATCGCACAACCAAGGTACGACAATGCAACAGCATTTTAATGAAAATAGATTTGGATACGCTTGCAGTGTATGTGATCGGTTATGGTTTGAAAAAGATTTGAAACAAGTTACTGATAACCATTTAGATATATTGGGTACGGAGTACGTATTTACGTCAGATTCTCCGGAACCGTGGTTCCACTGTTTTTTTTTAATTTTGAATCCCTGTACACTGTCTTGATATACGCGCAATGGGAGGTTCGCCTGTGATAGTCAATCTAATCTAATAGTCTAATCTCCTAAACTACTAAGAGGATTTAGATTAAATTTGGAACAGGAAAAGAAAGGAGTTCAAAATAAGAGTAGTAATAATCAATGCACCTTACCCACTACACTCATTCATAAGGTCATGCTTAGGTTCTGTACAGAGGCTGGGGAATACTTTTTCTTTCTCAAAGAAGTTCCCAGAATTGGGAGCACCCAGGGATATTCCAGCAAACGTTCTAAGAAAGTGAGAGAGACACAGGGCATTACAGTCATGGCACAAATTTGCAATAGGCAAAAAACGGTTATGCGATATCGTATCACCTGCACACTCACGCCAACACAATTAAATTGCGTCTGAAAACGTCACTGGAAGAAATGATCACTGCAGACTGCATAGTTTGCGCGCACTTCATATTACGAGAATCCTCTTGTACTCAGGGTACGTTGGTGTTTTCTCCATTAAATAACCTTACATGGCTGGTAGACGGAGAAGAATTCATTATATTTAGTCACCGTGAAAGCTTCAGATCATACTGCTAGACGCTTCGCTGTGATTCCTGCCTTATTCTATAATACCTATACTATTTTTTTGCCGATAAATTGGAGTATGATGTGGCAACAGCGTTAATGGAGAGAGAGAGAGAAACCCACTGCACTATGCACCTTGCTGGTTCACAGTTAGCGCCTGGCGTATGATTTGTGCGCCAGCCAAAACACCGTCCCTCCGAAGTTGCAAGGTTAGTCACACTTTTGTTAAAAACTAACAATGATCAATACAATGTGGTTTTATTAAAGAATTCCTCTAGTGAGGATTCTTAACAAGTAAGTTCACAATTGGTATTTTACACTAATGCTGCTTCAAACTCTCTTTCACGCACCAAGGTTACATTTATTTACTAGCATACATATGGTACATACAAAACGTATGTATGTGTGTTTTTATAGACAGTTTTATAATAAATTAGCAAGAGAATATTCCAAATTACAGAATACGGAATTTCCATCTGTTCCGTTACAGGATTTGTAGTTGTAGATTCTAGTACTCCGGGTCGTTGCGCCGCGTTGTCCTCTGAAGTCTTCTGGCTAGCTACACTGCGTTAACAACCCAGACGACCACAATCTAAATTCCATATGTTTTGACGTAAATGCGTCTATACGGAAGGGTCATTCGGCAAAAAAGCGTTAGGAAGATGTGTAAGATCCATACCAACAATGTGTAAATTGTTATGTCATCTGTTTATTCGACATTGCTATGTTTCATTACTGCCGTCAACATTCCGCTTTCGTTATTGCGGAAACAGCTGAGCTGTGAATCGCTTGTAGAAGAAGTGCGTCGTAGAGTAGATAATATTGTGCTGTTAGAAACGTTTTAGAATATCACAAGTACTTATCCTATACAAGAATTATTAAGAAATCTGTGATCCTGCCCTGCACTCTCTCCATTTTAGTTTTGATTAAATTAATCATTGCCGGTGGACATCGGCGTCTATACGTATGAGGGCATATATAAATAGCAAGAAGCAATTATTGCAAGTTAATGATTCCACATCATTGGCCAGTACAAGCGTTCCTACAAGAATCGCACAACCAAGGTACGACAATGCAACAGCATTTTAATGAAAATAGATTTGGATACGCTTGCAGTGTATGTGATCGGTTATGGTTTGAAAAAGATTTGAAACAAGTTACTGATAACCATTTAGATATATTGGGTACGGAGTACGTATTTACGTCAGATTCTCCGGAACCGTGGTTCCACTGTTTTTTTTTAATTTTGAATCCCTGTACACTGTCTTGATATACGCGCAATGGGAGGTTCGCCTGTGATAGTCAATCTAATCTAATAGTCTAATCTCCTAAACTACTAAGAGGATTTAGATTAAATTTGGAACAGGAAAAGAAAGGAGTTCAAAATAAGAGTAGTAATAATTTAATTCTGATATGTGTGTACCAGTCAATTATATCTCCCACGTTACGTGAAGCCCAAATTTATTTTATACATTGTTTTTAAAGCGGCTCATCATAAAATTAAATAAGCTTAGCAAACAAAAAACACATATTCCATTAACATTTCTCGATATGGGGCATGCTTAATGAAATACGAGGGAAATAAATCCACGTGTATTGCAATGATTTCCTGTAAACTAATTTTATTAACAATGCAAGAACAGACTGCGCTGTGTAACGTCACAACTGTTGATCGTATTTGTCGACGATGACCAGTGTATAAAACATGAACATCAAGACTAATGCCCAATACATCGAAGCACTGGGTCAACGTCTTGTAACAGGGACAAAACATGTGGCGAGTGAAAGTCTAGACACTCGCTCGATCTGGAGATCTGCATATGGAAAAGAATGTAGACGAAGAATCCCACTCCGGAATGGATTCAGATCCGCAACAGTATGGCTACTAACGCAAACCTGTTTATGTATAGGACCGTACATTTCACCAAGCTATCTGATTCCATAAGCTTATAAAAATAAAGATATCTAGCGAATACAACCGCATTTTTGCAACTTTTACTGGACGAAATCGTCTGCTGGCACTGACATCAGTGACCATGAAAGAAGGCGGAAGAATTTCGCGAAACCTGTTTGTCCCCAGCAAAACTGGCTTGAAATATGGAGGGAAAATGCAGCGACCACGAGACCACTGCCAGAACCTCAAAGCTACAGCCGACCTATACGTTCCCACAAAGAGCATAAGCTCATGTCTGTCGGAACATTTCACCTCCGAAATCAATGAACGATTTAATAAGATTCGTACTTTATATTACGCGTTGGCTCTTGGACCCACCCCAGCCTTTCTCCAAACAGGAGGCCGGGGAGATCTTTAATCAGGAGTAAAACCGTCGAAGAGTGAATATGACCATTTATAGCCAATCAGTTCTGACGTTAACAACGCGAACAACTTTGCATCCTTCCGCTTACATTTTCATGTCGTGGTGCTTAAGCACAGAGACGAAGTTTTTTTGGCACTTATTGGTACTATGGGCCTCTTTAAGGAAATATCACAGTTTTATTTTAGTTCCATGTAAATTTGGGGTTTTTTTCCCGCTTATTGTAGGCTTTATTGTTTGTCAACTAACTTCATGGAGCAGAGTCCATCTTTTATGAAAACCGATAGTTCATCACTATGTTCAAAAGAGCGCTCACCGATCCCTACCTGAGCCAGATGAAACAATATTATTTCACCCGTACAGTCCAACACCAAATTTCCCTGAAAGTCGTCGAAGAATTTTGAACGCTGAACACGTGGGCGGAAGCTTAAATCCACGTTAGACACTCTTTGTGTATACCTCGTATAAAATTATAAGGAAAATACGTTTATGGCACGCCTTAAATAACAAACTGTTTCCGCCATTAGTTTCAACTCCCACTGAAATCTATAACGCGTTCAAGCTGCCTGGTGTATGCCAGTTTACAAGACAGCCCGCCATTTCATCTTTAAAAAAAATAATATAAACATAACACGACGGTTAAACCAGGCTAATCCAAAACCACACCACTGGAAACAATTCTGAGTCTGTTTCATCTACAATTTTTCCTCGAGATCCTTCTTGCGTTAACCTCTAACCTCCTTGATGATCAAAGTAGCCGAGGAAATTTCCCCACAGATATTCTACCAGAAACAAGATTTCTCAAGAGCCAGAGGATAATTCCATACAAAGCGACCTAACTATGCACATGTCCACTTAAAAGACAGCAACGACTCCCGGGCAACTGAGGCACTTCTTTCCTCCCCCAACAGAGTTCATGCCCATCCCATGGTGTACAAGTGCGAAATTAATCATCCTTAATGTTTGGGTACGAAGATGAAATGATAACGGTTCTTTCAGACAGAAAATAATTCGATGTTTGTAAACCTATCTACACACTCAGCCATTAATTTCGAGATTAGAACATTACTGCAACTCAGATAAATAATGAACAACAGATAACGACTATCTTCTGGGATGTTGTGCCATGCGGTGTGGTAAATGTTAGCCAACGTTTCAGGTGCTTACTACCTCCACCATCAGGGCACCCAGACTACACGGCGCAAAATACCAGAAGACATCTTCATACTCGCCGCCTTGAGAGCCTGAAATCTCTTACAATGAAATACAGACTTCGTAAAAATTGATCCGCACAACAATATACGCCTACACCTACCATAAGCCACTTCATATATGAAATTAATGCATCGCGGTCTATTCACATTAACGGCACGACAGGTTAACATACAGCCGATGATACAGCTTGAGCGCTGGTTCATATCATGGCCAAAAATCATACATTTTTATGTATCCCACATGTATTATGGAGTCTGTTAATCTTTGTGAGTCCATTTCACTTGACCCAAGAACTGCATGTCGTATGCCAGCAAAGGCTTTCTCACAAGTTAGGACTAACAACTGTGTACAAGCCTCAAGCACACCCACTTCTGATAAAAATAGGACACAAAGAAGGATATCGAATTTTAGATAATATAAAAGTAATAATCTATTTTGTAAGTCACGATGTGTCATGGCGAGGTGTCATTTGTAGACACTGTAGGATTTCGGTATTATGTAATAACAATAAAACTAATACGAGGAAAAATACTACATGTTCTACTGAGCAGAATCTACTCGGACCCCTTAGACACAACTTGGGAACCCCCAGTTCAGAAACACTGCGGTAAGCTGTGCCTCTTCAAGCTGAGTAAACACGAACTGCCTCTGGTAGTGCGCCCCACACAAACGCAGACACGTTATGTCTGTTACCTCTCCAGGGCCTTACGTCTGTTGTGTCCTTATCGGAAGTTATGATCAAATCAACTGGAATACCAAAATGACAGGATATTATGTTGTTGCCAACATGCTGACGTGTCGTGTGGGTAGTGTGAATCGACCCAAAACAGAGGTCATGTCCGTCTATCCCGAAATTCTATCTTCCAGGTATCTTAACAGATTTAGATAAAAGTGTGGCACTAGGATCTGCATTAAAATCGGGCAAATTATGCTCTTAATGTAACATTAGGAAAGTAATTTGTCGTTATGCATCGTGTAATTGAACTCTAAATATGAAGCAGACACGTCACAGCATAATGCAGAGATGCTTCTGTTCCCGAACTGAAAATTCTTGTTTCAACAACAAAATTACTACAAATGAAATACGCGGTCCAAGCCCAGGGTACAACGCAATTTTCCCATCCCACTTTAACGTTCTTTACACCATTGATTCACGCACAAAACGGCAATACATTTTCTGAGGATTGCTACTCAGTCTGATACAGGTAAAGGCACAGCTGCCTCTGGAGCTTAACTAAGCACCACACCATGCAGATGTATGGACAGTGGAGGTACGGCTCCACGTATTTTTAATCTCGACACTAGGCGGAGATGAGTGGTTAGCTTCACTCCCCGACCGCTTTACGCACGAGGGAATAACCCACGTATCAGCTGGAAAGGATGGCAGCTGAGCCCGAGAGCCAGTGTGGACACTATGGCAAAGAGAATATTTATGCCCTACTATGAATCGAATCCCGGGAGTCGAGTTCACAAAAAAAACTCAGTGTGTTCAAAAGCAAATACAAATAAAAGTTTACAAATCTAATATTGTAAGATAAAAGTATCCCTGTGCATAAGCACCAAGCCATGAAGTGTGTGGGAATGGGGATGACTCCACACATTCTTACTTCGGCATCAGATGGAGGCGACTGGTCAGTTTCACGCCTCACGTGCTATCGATACCTATTGGACAGGAAGCTTGATGGGGTCCAGAGCCATAACAATCTAGGCATGTGTATTTGCAACATTCAACACGTTTTATCACATCAAAATCAGAGAGACGTAATTGTAACACTGACCATTAGCAATGAAAACTTATACCTGAGGCAAATGAAATTATTCATCAGAAATATCAGTCTTCCACACACACAGAATTTGTTATATGGCTCCACTATCCCATTTATGAGGTTCTGTGGTTTAATTAACAAAGCTGTCAGATGTCAGCTTACACAGTATCGAATGATAGGATAATTGGCAAATAATTAACTGTAAAATATATTGTAGGAAGCAGTTGTGGCCTAAGGTACTATCCCAACATTTGTTTGGATGGACTGAGAAAAACCTCCGTCAGGATGGCTGGTCTCCAGGCCGATATTTGAACCTCAGACCTCCAAAATACAAAGCAAGTGATAACCACAGAAGGATGCAGCAACTGGTTATCTAACTAACTCCCTGGTAGCAGAACCTGCAGGTTCAACATCGGTAACACCGAAGCCCACCACCAACCATGATCCTGAGTCAACTCCATCTATTATACATCAGTAACTGTATTTATTTTTTAAACTCCATGTTTACATCGAACAGCCAAATGATGTGGAATTCCCAGAACTTGACTGGACATGTTTTGATCAGGTCATTCATAAGCACTGAATAGACTATAACACTGTGGTCTAATGTGTGTAGGTGTGCCTACCTGACTGTTGTAGGGATGACGCTACTACTGCTGCTGCTTCTGGTGGTCTCATTCAGTGCTACTGGCAACTGGGCACAAGAGAGGTAAAAGCCAAACAAAATATATTATCTAACAGTTAAATAGCTGATTTTTATTAAAACATTTTAAGCTAATTATATTCACTCAGTATAAACATAAAATAGTTCTCTAGTATGATCCATTTCCAGGAACATTTATCATTGTCCTTTTACAAAAACATTTTGCTATGCCACTGTTCAGGCAGAAACAGTGACTTCTCACAACACAGGCCCCAGGTTCATTTCCAAGGCAGTCCATGTGGAATCTGCAGTAGAGAAGGTAAAAGTAGGGTAGATTTTTCTTTGGGTAGTGTGGTTTTTCCTTGCCAGTTACCAAATCTTCATACTTGTCCATCATCATCATCATCATTACCATGGGCTGATACAAAGATCCAAAGATGCAGTACCAAGTGACTCACTTCTAACACTGACTAAGTGGTGCATGTAATTCCTTAAAATTGTGATAACTGCTTACCAGTCCTGTCACATTTTTTATTACACTATACTATTATTGATCAGAGTTGCATAAAACAGTGAAAATTATGTTTTTTCTTTTGTTTTGTTTTCAATTTTTTTATTCATTTACAGGAACTCTGATTCTGGCCACCAGTGTTCTCCAGACTTTTCTATGCATCCATATCACATTTTATTTTCCATCTTCTGTTCAGTATTATTTTATGCCTGTACTCATTGTAACAATTTTATTACGATGCTGGCTCCTTTTGTCACACCATTTAAAATCAATACATCCCAACTCTTAGCATGCATCAACAATACATTTCTGAATGTTAACTACAGCAGTGGGCAACATTTAGTGTTAGTATGTTGTACTGTGCCAAATCCTCTTATCAGGACTATTGTTATGGGCTATGTAAGAGTTCCAGGCAATTTCATAGAAATGTCATCAACTGTTACAGGAGACACTCTGTTCAACACAAACAAATGTTGTCTGCACAGCATTGCCATCTCTATATACATACATATATGTAGTAGTAATCCATCCTCGCAACATCAACCAGATCAGACTGTGCCAAACCTCACTGGCTCAACCACTAATTGGCTTTTCTTGCAAACATTCATTTATTTTGATTTCAATTGATCTGTAGCTATTTATCCTCTTGTACAAGGTCCAGAAAAGTACTTGATACAAATCTTCACAGCTTGGCTTTTGCAACACAGCATTTAAATGTCACTTAAGGAAAACATGCCACAGAGAAGTTAAAGGCTAAATAATCATTTGCATCTTGCAGAACTTGTAACTGGTAACTGAACATCTGTCCTAACAGTCAGGTGTGGATGTGGGTATGCCAGGAAGGAAAATGTGTGAAACAACCACTTGACAGGGACATGACCCCTCAAGGCCTGCAGGCCTGTAAATTAGTATGTGATACATACAGTACTCTCTGGCCACGACCCAGGGGCAAAGTAGAGCTGGGACGAATCCTGGCACCCATCAACTATAATTCCATCACCATTACTGGGACTTCAGGTAGATAATTATAGTGCACACAGTTCAGGTAATACAATAGTTTCAGTATTATGATACATGGCACAAATCATGTATACAGAAAATTTATGCATTTATTAATATTTTCAAGAAAGCCGTCACAGTGGCCACGCGGTCTGAGGCGTGGGCCTTGTGCCACTCGGACACTGGGAACGTGGGTTCGAATCCCACTCAAGACATGGATGTTTGTCCGTGTCTTGCTGTCCTGTGTACAGGTAGAGGCCTTGCGATGAGCTCATCACTCGACCAAGGAGTCCTACCAAGTGTCCAATAGATCAAGCAAACCTACAAAGAGAGGAAAAAAGCATACCCTGCCAAAGCAGGATAAATGCTAAAGAGGGAATTCATATTTTCAAGAAACATGCCTATAAGTGGATACATTGTTTAAAGGCTGTATTATTCAAAAAAGCTACTGCAGTCAATTAGTTTCTGGTGGCCTCTGGCCAGTGAAAGCAGGGAGTAGAGAGTAGTGGGGGTAAAACACAGTGAGCTTCAATGAAAACAGTGGAAAAAGATGTAGTGATAATGCAACTATAGATTACTGTGAAATACCAATGGTTAATTACCATGAGATTTAGTAATTTAACAACACACAGAATTATTATTGTTGCATAGCTGGACTTAAAACTGACCACTTTTCTGTTGTTAAGTTGTCCAAAATATTTTTACAAGGGAGGAGGGGGTCAGCTTTCTTCACTATTACTTCATAAGTCTCACAAAAGTAGGTAGTAGTTTGGAAACTAGTTTCTTAGTTATAGTTCATCTTTGTTTAGTCATGACTGACTGCTTTGCTCACAGGTTAAAAGTGAAACTTAAATGAAGATTTCTGTCTTCAGGGTTGTTCCGCTGTGTAGTCTGGTTGATGTTAACCAACATTTCAGAGGTCATACTTGCCTCTGCGAAATTTAAATGATTGACTGTGACTGCATTAAGCTATACTGATCTGTAGTTACACTGTGTATTCTTCCCATACAGGAGATCATCGGGCACTGAGCAAGAATGTGGGTCAATTCTTCAATATAGCAGCTGATACCTTCTCCAATCAGCTGACTACACTGTTCAAGAAACGAGAACAAAGACCTTCTGATGGCAAGTCACTTCAAGTGCGAGTCACAATTCGTGACTCTTACACACGTGCCTTGAAGATAGGTTCAGATGAGAGCTATGAGCTGTACATTTCTGAAGCAGACACTGAAGTAATGTATACTGATACAATGTTGCTTAGTCCTCCAAGGATAGTGCTGTTACATAGGGCTCATCACATCCCCCCCCCCCC